GGCAGTGAGAACAAGGGGACATTAAATTAAAACTCTTCTGAACAAGGTGGTGGAGCAGTAACTTGAGGGGGTCACTGGCCACACAGATTTTCACTCCCTACAATTATCCCAGCCTAACATTTGGCATCAGGAGGCACTCAATATCTACCAAATGCAGTAATATTTTCATTACAAGCCAGGTCTCCTATGAAACAGTCCAGAGTTCTCCAAATCTAACAGCACAAAACAGATTCATCTTTCTGGGTGAGGAGAGAGACTGAAGGAAAATAAAGCCATTTCATATTCTGTATTATGTTTTGGGTATATCAGCAAGAATCTTTACTTCTTTCTCCTCCCTTCCCTGACTACACATGCCCAAATTATATATCATAGAAGAGAAAGACTAAATGGCTTATCAGAGACCAGAATTGCACCCAAAAAGAACTTCAGCTACCTTACTTTTTTAAAAAGACCAGGCATCAAGATGCCACAGTGCCTTAATTACACATTTCACTGTTAGATTGAGCACATAATATAGGAAACTTGCAGGATTTTTAAACGGCACAACAAATGTTTACAACATAACATTCAGTGATAAAAGCAGGTTATCATATTGCGTGTGATCTCAAACTAGGGAATGGGAAATGGACAATACGAAGGAAATACATACGGTAGGAATAAACACTAAGAGAAAATGGACACGAATAAAAGAAATCTGAGTGGCAAAATTGCGAGTTTTTCTTTCCTCATCTTATTCTTCTGTATTTTCCCAGTTGTCTACAATCATAAATGCTGTAAAAATCTCCATAAAGTCACGGGAACTGCTTCCTGGCCACCCAAGCCCCCTCTCGTTGGCCTAGGTGGCCCTGAAATAACATGTTGCGACCCCCGCAGTTGCCGGGACTCAGGCAGCCCGCAGCCTCCCGCGCCCGGCGGCTCAGGCCGCGCGGCACCTGCCGGGCCTCCCCCGACCCCGGATTCCGACCCGGAGTCGCGAAAAGCGACGTGAGGACGGGGCGGGGGGGCCACGCTCGTCAGGGAAAGGCAGCCGGCTCAAGCACGGGCTCCGCCGCCCACCTCCTGCGGGGCCTCGGCGGAGTCAGCTCCGGTCCTCACCGTCCGAATGACACGTCCCCCCGGGCCGTGTCGGGCTGTCACGGGACCCGCCGCGGGTGGGGACTCCGGGCCCGGCCGCTCCCGGCGCGCGCCTGGCTGAGGGGCGGGGCCCGCTCTGCACGTGAACGGCCTCGCAGGTGACAGACGCTCCGCCGGGCTGCACAGGCTGACCCACTTCGCGCTTCCTCCGGCCCCGGCCAGCGTCCGGCGCTCACGGCGGCGCGGGGCGGAGGGACCAGGCCGAGGCCGGCGGGGGCCCGCGCGTTACATAACGGGCCGCGCGCTCTCGCGAGACTTCGCTCCCCCTGTCACGTCAGAGGGAACCGGGCGGAGCGGCCAACATGGCGGAGCGCAGGCGACACAAGAAGCGGATCCAGGTAGCAAAGCCGAACCCCGGGGTAGGGGTTTCAGCGCGGTCCAAAGTGGAGAAAGCGGGGAAAGCCCCTCGGAAGGGCGCGCGAGGGCGCGGGCGAGGCGGGCCGGGGTCCCGCCGCAAGGCTGCCGCCCGCGGGCCGCGTCGTCGTGAGGGGCCTGCGGGGGGGCGGTGTGGCCGCGGCGGACACCGAGGCCGAGGCTGCGGGGCCGCGGCGTGCAGCAGGCAGGCGCCGCGCTCGGCATCGGCGGCGGGTCGCGGGCCTGAGCCGGAGGTCGGCCCCTCCGGGGTGCAGACGCCGGCCCTCGCGGGGCGCGACTCTCCGCCCAGCCCAGCCTCTGTCCCGGCCGTCCCTGAATTGGGCCGCGGGAATGGGGATAGCGGGAGGCGGAGGACTGGCCCGAGGCAGCCGGTCCTTTGTGTATGAAGGGACAGTGGCGAGGGAACGTCTGGATCTGCTCATCCAGATGTTCAGCCGCGCCGCCGCCTCCCCGGCGCTGTCGGTGCAGCGCGGGGCCGCGGGCTCTTCCCGGCGCCGCGTAAACAACCACAGCCCCTGTGGCTGCGGCGAGGTGGCGGGGCCCGGAGCTTCACCGGCCCGTGTGTCGCCTCCCTCACCTGCACCACCCCGTCCCTCGTAACGTGTGCATGGCACTTGTGCGTGCCTTCCTTGCAGCTTTCCACCCGTGTTTGTTCTTTGCCAAGGGGGTTAAGTGTGTACAACATCTCGGAATCCGGATGTTTTTCGCTGGTCTCATCAGCTCACGTGCTTGAGAAGCCTAAGGTGTCATTAATTGGTAACGCGTAGTAAATCGTTAACATGCTAATCACAAGTGGTTGTCAGTGCCTTTCTGTTTCTTACCGTGTCATTGCTTGGAATGACTTTTTCTGTCTTCTGTTTTATCCCTCCATATTTTTAAAGGTTTACCGATTTGGGGGCCTACGGGTGTTTTGAGTGGTGCAAGTTAAAATTCTGGAAACTTTTAAGTACTGTGAAAAACATAGACATAATCAGAAAATTTGGAGTTTTGGAATTTGGTAGGAATAAGAAAGTTCTGAACAGGGTAGCGAATGGAATTAGCAAAAGGCAAATTCCAAATTCAGATGGCTCAAGTCAGGGCTTAAGTTCAGTAGAAGTTGTTTCTAATTATACTGTTCCTAATCTTTTAAGAGTTTAGTGTTATTCTGACATGGATATACCATATTTTATTGGAATTTGTATTGGAATTGTCAGATTTGTGCTTACTGAAGACCTTGTAGTTACACCCGACAGTATATTTATGTCCTTTCATGTGCATTGTTTTACACTTTCAACTGCTTAATGTACAGGTGATATAATTCACTGTTTAAATAGCTACTCTATTTCAGTTGTGATATTATATTAAACAGATAGGTAATGAGTACGGTATGGTACTGTCCTGACAGTGAGCCAGATGGTTTGTTTATATCCAGCTCTACCAGCTGTTAGCTGAGTAACTTTGAGCAAGTTACATTTTATCTCAATTATTGCATCTATAAGAAGAGATATTTACCTTAAAAAAAAAAAACCCTCAGAGATGTGGGATTGCTATGAAAACAATAGGTAAGTCTATGACTTAATGTAAAGTTATAAAAGATATTAAAAATGCTTGGCACACAACCCCTCCTCTATCCCCCCCTTGCCCTGGATGAAGGATTTAGGTTGGATTGTTATTTTGGTTTTTATTAAGCACTCTTTGATATGCTGAAGAAAGATTAACAGCAAATAAACCATTCGGTTGTGAGTTATATAAAGTATTGCTCTTTACTTTCTATTATTTATTTGAGGCTTGATTGACAAAAATTAGCAAGTTTTCTACATGGCTATATAGAGTGTGGGCGATCTTGGAGTACTACTTTTATGTAGTCTCACAAATTTATAAAATGTTAAAAAAAAAAAAGATACAGTTATATCTTTCCAGAGAATCAGAAACTCTATAATACTGATATCACTTATGATAAAAAGATAAAATACAATGAAAAGTTGAGAGTTTAAGTGACAGAAAAGATTCCATTATAGAACTTTTAGGCAAAAAGGGCTGCAGTATCAGCTGAGCTTCCTATTCGTTACTTAGTGTTTCATGCTTAGGAAAGATTTTTATGGTTAATGGATTCAGTGACTTTGAACTGTAATTTGTACGTTGGGCAGAAATGTAGGTGAAAAGAAGTACGTGTGTGCGTGTGTGTGTTTGTGTATGTGTACGTATACATGTGTGTATACATATGTATCTATAGCTAATTTATGCTTTTTGCAGTGCAGCATAATTTCAGATTCAAAGTTTAAAGGAAGATAATTATTGTCACGTTCCCTTTTTGAACTCACATTACTGATCACTAAAAACCAGAAGTGAACTACATGTTCATTGACATAATATAAAAATGTTAATGATTAAGATTCTCAGATTTATCTCAATCCAAATTGATGAAACATTTGAAAATAGTTTTAAGTTATTAGTAAATGCAGTTCTATAAGTTTTTAAGGACATGGGTAACTTCAAAAGTTACAAAGTGCTTACTAGAAGCATTGATCTGGAATCATGGTCATGAAATTTTAGAGTTGAAAAGCTGGTAGACTTTGTTTGGAATCCTTGTTCACAAATTCATTCTTACATAAAAGCAGAATAGTGGGCTCAGAGCTCACTGACCTCACTCAGTACCTTCATTTTACAGATGAAATGAGGTCCAGTGAGGTTTATGTGACTCAACCTAGGATTATTAATCAAGATAGTAAAACCAAATTTAGGTCTTTTAATTTTAAATTGAATGTTCTTTTTATCTCATCATTGATAAACATAAGTTGCTCTGAAATACTTTAATCGTGAAATTTTATATTAGATTATACATAAAGACTTAACATGACTCATCCCTGCTAAAGAGAATCATCTCATTTAGTACTTTGCTTATATGTAAAGTATCCACTGGAGTTTTGAGACAAATGGCTTACTAGTTCTTAGAACTTTTATAATATTATCAGTTAATTTTTGTTGTACTCATCTGTCTCTCTGGCAATAAAATCCTAATATATCATGGGTTCATGTGCTAGATGTCAGGAAAGGGAGGGAAAGAAAAAGTTTACAGCTCTAAAGCCAGACACAGATCTGAGTCTCAGAACATTCTGAAGAAAAGGGAGAGAACCAAGGAAGCCAATCCTAAGTCTGAATCCTCCCCTCACAGTTTACTGAAAGGGTTTCCAGTTACCTACCTACCTACTGCAAAACGGGGAATACTGTCAAAGTGACTTGGAGCGGTGTAGAAGGGCACTGCCACAGTTGAGATACAGACTCTTGTAAAGCTCTGCTACAGTGTTTCCCCCGAAAACAAGACACTATCTTATATTTCTTTTTTCTCAGAAGACACACAGTAGGACTTATTTTCAGGGGACTCCTTCCTCTCCTTACCGAAATGCATGGCGTGGCTATGCAGATACGCATATCTGCATAGCCACGCCCATCACTAGGTCTTATTATTGGGGTAGGGCTTATATTTAACAAATGCGTAGAAATCCTGCTAGGGCTTATTTTTTGGGTAGGTCTTATTTTCGGGGAAACACAGTAGTAGCATGCTATGTGACTTGGAGCAGATGATTCATCTAAGATCCCACCAGCTTTCAGGTTTTATTTTGTTAACCTACTATTTGCATCTTCACAAATATGTTATACTGATTGTATAAAGATACAAATTCACAATTAACAAGGCTTTTTCTTTTTTGCCCAATTCACTGTTGACAGGCCAGCTATGCTTCTATCAGAAATGATATAAGATTGAAGCTTGTGGCATCCTTACTTTTGATCAATTATTTTTTCTTAAAAAGGTTAAGTATGGGCAGAGATAATGGAAATTTTATCTCTGTTTCATTATAGAGTTCTAGTGTTGATGTATTTTAAGTAAAAATATAAGAGCATTCTTTCCAAACTTTTTTTCTTTTTCTTTTTTTTTTTTTTGAGACAGCCTCAAGCTGTCCCCTGGGTAGAGTGCTGTGGCATCACAGCTCACAGCAACCTCCAACTCCTGGGCTCAAGCGAGTCTCCTGCCTCAGCCTCCCAAGTAGCTGGGACCACAGGCGCCCGCCACAACGCCAGCTATTCTTTGGTTGCAGCCGTCGTTGTTTGGCAGGCCCAGACTGGATTTGAACCCGCCGCCTTAGGTGTATGTGGCTGGCGCCTTAGCCACTTGAGCCATAGGCGCTGAGCCCAGACTTTTAAATTAAATAATGTTAGACTGAGCTGGCTTCTTGGTATTTTGATGCAAAGAAAGGGATCCTGCCTATACTTCTAAACTTACTGGCTCTTAGCTTCCTTTCTAAGAAAGGTGTGCTCGTTCGTTTGAAGACTGATGGGTTGTTTTCCCTTTATTGGTTGGTGCTGCTGTTCCCAGAAAGCCTTCACTTGTTAGAAGACTTCCAGAAAGTTAAGAAAATATCCTGTTTACATCAAAAGGAAACAAGTGGGAGAGTACTGTAGTCCAGTGTATAAATAAGAAGGAGATGAGACTGTTTCATGCCTCTTGGGCTGCAGATGGGGAGCAGTGCAGTGAAGGTCCAGGCAGGCCCTTCTGTCTAACTGGGTTCAGGGTTCCTGTTCTGAAGACACTCTTCTATAACAGTCATTCTTTTTGCCTCCAAAGCCCCAGCAGGTGGAACAAATTATATTATTGTCACCAAAGGCAGTGTACAATATGGATACCTTATTATAAGTTACTGATACCTTAAGAAAGTATCAAGTTCACAGATTTGGTGTACTTGAAAGTCAGTTGTTAAAATAAGATTTAAGGCTGGGCATGGTGGCTCATGCCTGTAATCCCAACACTCTGGGCCGCCAAAGCCGGTGGATTGCCTGAGTTTACAAGTTCGGGAACAGCCTGAGCAACAGTGAGACTCCATCTCTAAATATAGCTGGGTATTGTAGCCGGTGCCTGTAGTCCCTGCTACTCAGGAGGCTGAGGCATAGAGGATCACTTGAGCCCAAGAGTTTGAGGTTGCTGTGAGCTATGACACCAGAGTGCTCTACCGAGGGTGACAAAGTGAGACTCTGTCTCAAAAAATAATAAATAAAATGAGATTTAAGATTTTGTGCATGCATGTAGTATCCAGTTCCCTGCTGCATAATGTGGAATGAACTTTTCAGGTTTTCATGTATGCTAATATTTAATCAGATTTTACGTGGAATGCCTCTGTAAGCAGTCAGTAGAGAAGTACATTTATGTCTGGGTTCAGTAAATTGTATAACTGAGTGTATGAGTGTGTGTCATGCCTAAAATTGACAGTCGTTTTCTAGAATCTCCTCACAAATTTCCTGTTATTGAAAAACTGTTTTTCATTGATGAAGTTAGAAATCTGACATCTTTTCCTAGCCATTTCACTCATCCTTTACTGAGTCCTATCTGTTCTACATTTGAAATGCTTCAGTATCTGGGGCGACGCCTGTGGCTCAGGGAGTAGGGCGCTGGCCCCATATACTAAGGGTGGCAGGTTCAAACCCTCCCCAGCCAAACTGCAACAAAAAATAGCCGGGTGTTGTGGCGGCATCTGTAGTCCCAGCTACTGGGGGGGGGGCTGAGGCAAGAGAATCACCTAAACCCAAGAGCTGAAGGTTGCTGTGAGCTGTGACACCACAGCACTCTACCTAGGGTGACAAAATGAAGCTCTCTAAAAAGAAAAAAAGAAAAAGAAGAATGTTTCCCTATCTAAACCCCTCCCCATCCCTCGTCCAGTGTTGTCCCAGTTCACTTGCATCTCACAGGACTCTGCTCATCACTGTTCTCATCTCAGGCACTTGTTTTTCGATTCATCCTATGTACAGCCACCAGAACAACATGTAAATCATTTCTCTAATTACGTCATTCAATTCTAAACCTACTAACAGTCTTTCTGGTACTTATGGGGTAAAGTCAGGCTCTTTGTCTCTGCTGTATTCCACTTAAACAGACTTTACGTCCCAGCACTTCTGATCTTGCCTCTCCTGGAGCCAGATTTTCAGCCACAGTGTTTGTGCTCCTCATTCAGTTTACTCAAAACTTCTTCATCTTTCAGAATCCAGCTTCCTCTTTCAAGAGATCTTTTCTGGCTGTTCCATCCAGAACATTGATAACCTAACTCCTACTTTGTGAACTTCTAAAATATTTTTCTAGCACTCCTTTTGGAAAATAACAATTGCTGCTTTTGATAGTTATGTAGCAAAGTATCATGTCTCACAAATCTTTGTATTCACTGGAACATCCAGAGATTACAGGGTAAGCATTCTCTGTGTCTTTGAACAGTTTACAGTTATTCAGACTTCTCCCCCACAATTTATAAATAAGTATATCCCAGTTATCAGTTAATTACATAAATTTTAAATTGACAATAGATGTGTGAGGAAAAAATTGAGCATATATGGATGTGATTTTAAGCTAGAATTGATTTCTATAAACCACATATGGTATTTTCAACTATTTATGTTACTACATTTTCAGGTATATAAATACATAGAAAAGTATTTACTAATAGATAAGGTTCCTAGAAGTCAGTATGTTTATACAAAAATATTTTCATTTAATGTATATGATACCAAGACACATTAACATACTTTATTTAGCATGGTTTCAAAATTTTTGATAAGGAATTTTCACCTTTTACTACTTAGAAAGTGTATTTTATAGTTAGGCCTCATTAAATCATTATGAACTTTGTTGATAATGAACTTGAAGTGTTAAATTTTAAACTTGGAATATTTTAAGATTCTATTTTTGTGGTATATATATATATATATATTTTTTTTTTTTTTTTTTGAGGCAGAGCCTCAAGCTATCCCCCTGAGTAGAGTGCTGTGGCATCACCACTCAGAGCAGCCTCCTGGGCTCAAGCGAGTCTCCTGCCTCAGCCTCCCAAGTAGCTGGGACCACAAGTGCCCACCACACACCTGGCTATTTTTTGGTTGCAGCTGTCATTGTTGTTTGGCAGGCCCAGGCTAGATTCGAACCCACCACCTTAGGTGTGGCTGGTGCCTTAGCCACTTGAGCCACAGGTGCCAAGCCAGGTATATATTTTTATATATAAACATAAAGGTTTCTATTTCATAAATACTTGGCTTGTGCTTTTAATTTTTATTGCCACAAACAGCCTACAGCTGGTCGCATCAGACTTGTAAGAATCATGCACTATTGATTGGGCTACTGAAAGCAGAGTAGTCAGGAACCAGACACAGGAAGAATGGGAGCTGTAGCTGACAGATGGGCTCAGTGGCCAAGTACAAGTTTTAGCCTCCTTATGTAACAAATCACTCCTTTTGTTTGTTGATCTTTATTCTCCTCCAACATAACTGAATTCAAACTTATCTGAAATTTAGAAAAATTTGACATAAAGATAGATAATTTAGGTAGAGTATTTTTTCTATTTTGCATATTAGAATTTATTGCTTGAAACCAGTCTTTAGCATTAATTCTTCTCAGCATCCTAGATTCTTGCAGATAATTCTTTGCTAATACTTGACATTTTATTCTTTTTAGACACAGACGTTCCTGGAGTCATTCACATTTAGATTATGTACACTGCTGGAAATGCTGAGTGTTCTATTATTGTGCTTAAGTATGTAATTAAAAACAGTGCTTAAATGTAGTGCATTTGTCGAATAGCTTACAGCAATAAGACACTTTTAAAAGTTTGTAATAAAATGTGTCAAATGTAGACTGCCTTCGTTTTCTTCAGTACATGGGAGAATAAGTTACACAGGGATAATTGTCAAATTTAAGAAGTTCAGAGTGAAATAGAATAAAGGGGAAATGGGGCAGGATGAGCAATGAAAAAATAATGGGAAATGTGGGGAAGGTCTAGAAGAAACCAGGGGAGAATGAGAGCAGCCTTCCCAAAGCTGCCTTGTCAGTTTACTCCACCAGTCACTTCTTTGGATAGTAGGGTCTCTGTTTTTGCATGTTTTTATTTTTGCCTTACCCTTACTGGGGAAAAGAAGAACACAAGGTGGGAAGTGAGTCCCAGACGTGTCTGCAGCCCCCAGGGAAGAGAAGGGACACTGTAAACATCTCAGGGCTGGCCTGGCTCACCCGCAGGGGCAGCCTGTCCTGGCTGGTTTTGAGCGCCCTCGGGGATCACTGTCCAGGACCCACATCTCAGCTGTTATTTCAACTTTCAGGTACCTGTTTCTGTTTACTTTGACATTTGGGCACGCATCATTGACAACATGTTGTCTTTTTAATTATTCTTTTGTGGCTTGTAAAGAGTCCATACAAAAAGAGCGAAGGTGAACTAATGCAAAATGGTTGCCACACTGGAGAAACAACTCAGATGCCTGATGGTGGAGAGCAGGAATTGCTTCATCAACTTGTATTTGACAAACGTAGTTTAAGTCTCCATTTTGTGTTTTCTGTACACTACCAAGGCTTCTATTCCACTCAAAACGAGGACAGATTTGTAAATTACTCTTCTGTACACGGGTTTCTCAGGTGAAGGATTGTGCTAAAGCAGTGCCTTGTGTTGCAGGAAGTTGGTGAACCGTCTAAGGAAGAGAAGGCCGTAGCCAAGTATCTTCGATTCAACTGTCCGACGAAGTCCACCAATATGATGGGTCACCGGGTCGACTACTTTATAGGTAGGGCTGTGTCAGTACAGTCATTAGTGTACATGTCTTAGGACGTTGCCTAAATTTGGGGTGCATACAAGTTCTTAAAATGCTTTCCAGGTATGATTCTTGAAGCTGGTGACAGCCATATGCCAGTTCATTATTCTGTTCTTTTTATGAATGAGAATGTCTATAATAAAAGATAAAGTGCTTTTTAACAATATATTTTAGAAGTTTTAAAAATACGATTTATTTTAATTGTACTGCCTTTTGTTCAGTTAGTACATGTACTTGAAACTAATTGGGAGCTTTGGTTTTTTACATTATCTAAACAACACCATATTATAACCTGGTTATCTTTTATAATATAGCCCTGTAGCTTATAAATAGTGGTTGAATTTGCCTGTTTCATAAATTAAAATTGAATTGTCAGTATAGAGAAAAGTTCCTTTATCTTCTCTTTCTTTAGTGTTATTAATGGTTTTGGCATTCATTAAAAGTTTAGAAAAAAGACATGCTCACCTCCTTGGATCTAATATATTTAGTTACTTCTCATGAGAGCAGTAAATTGTTTATGGAGTTTATTTTTCAGCAGGTTATAGTGAACCTTGATGAGAATTTTTATGGTTAGAGGGAGAAGGTTTTTGGTTTATCCTATATTTGATTATGATTAGTTAATAAGGGTCATAGTTACATATAAATATGTTGAATTTTTGAACACTTTCTCATGATTTTGTCTTTCTTTAGTATTTCTGAATGCCATTAATTTCCCAGTATTACTTTAAAAAGATAATGTATTTCACAAGTTGAGGTTTTGAGGAGCTGTTACCATGATCCCATCAGACTTAATTTTCTGTTGAGGTTGATTTTCTTCTCTGCCAGAATATTGAAATTTTATAAAATATTATCATATTGAGACAGGCATAAATTACCATGTTTACTAAATTAAAAATAATGAATTTCTTTTTTAGCTTCAAAAGCAGTGGATTGCCTTCTGGATTCAAAGTGGGCAAGGGCCAAGAAAGGAGAGGAAGCTTTGTTCACAACCCGGGAGTCTGTGGTTGACTACTGCAACAGGTAGTGTGCTTGTCAGTCTGGGGTTGACTGCTGCAACAGGCAGTGTGCTTGTCAGTCTGGGGTTGACT